AAAGTGTGCCCAGATCCTACAAACGGATCCAGTCCATAAAATCTTTGATTAAAAGCACGCATGATTCGCGTTAGGACACTATTCATGCCATAATTTGTAGAATGAATAGGAACAGAAAATAGTGATGTTGCCTGGTTCTGCGCTTCGCTATAGACAGTGAGATCTTTGGTAGGAGTTGAGGGCAATCGAGCCGCCCTCGTAAGATGTCAAAAAGAAGACCCATGTCCATCACCACACGCCTTTCTTCCAGAGTCAGCAGTCCATAATGTCTGCTGTTTTCGACGTATGACCCAGTAGTTCTAGAGAATTGAAAGTACTATAACTATTTTTACGGAATACGCTCAATTCGTTGGGCGTGTATAGCATAGGATGGTCGACTGCGTTTAAACTTTGACGGTGATCTTTGTTTACATTTTTTACATCTTAATAAGATTCAACTACAGACGATATTATTCAACTTGATCTTCAATTTCATATCTCAATCTTGCCAGTATATTTAGGGAGCCTGCCAAAAAAGTTTTGACGTTGGCTCCGCCCAAATTTGTGAAACAAATATATGCCTGAAGTTCTCGTGACATGCGACAGGAGATGTTGAATTTTGCGCATTAAAAGTACCATATTCGTTTTAGCGGAATAACTCTAAAACTAAAGGGATTTAATAAAATCCGTAGTGACAGTTGTCGATCATGCATAAATATAATTAATTATCTAATTTTTGTCCTAATAGCCTGTAGCATTTCGAGGATAAATCGAAAAAATTTGATAATTAGTGGTCATTTCGTGATTTTTATCTATTGAGGAAACTTTATTGTTTTATGTTTCTGATTAGTGTCTATGCTTGAATATATCGTGTAATTACTCATACAATATTTTATTTTTAACTTTAAAGTGGATATACCCCTCTTAAATCAAATCGAAGATTAGGAATTTTTCCTCTGTTCCCTCTTAATATTCTTAGCAGTGCAGGGCGTGAACAAGGTGGCTTTTTTTTGAGAACTTTGTCTGGCGCACTGCGCTAAAGTATCATTATCGTGAATATTATGTCATATTTTTAACTTGTTTAATTTGTGCTATGTCATGATTACAGAGTTACACACAATACCAAGCTTATCAAATGGAGATAATAATATTATTATGTGATACTTATCGCATTAGTTACGTAAAGAAATGTTCTCCTCTACAGCGCGCTCTTCTGACGAGTGTCCACTATTATCATAACATAACCATTGGTCGGAAAAAGTTGTTCCACATAAAAATATATACAGGTGTCCCAAAACTCAACGTCAAGCGGTCACTGGGCGAGAGGCCAGGTTATATCAGTTCTGGTAAAAATTAAAAAAAAAATCGATGTCACTTAGTTAAGTGATAATAGGCATTTTTTTGAAAATTTTGAAAATCGAACGCATCGGCGTCACTATCCGCCTCGCTCACTCTAATTCATGTCGCACAGCGTCACTATCCATCTCACTCTATCACATATGACCATCTCACTTCCACGATGTTAAAGCCAATCTTTGAGCACACAAAAGTATTATTTATCATGGCATGAGTTTTTTTTGAAACGAGCTCCTTTTGCAAAAAATAAGTTATAATATTTTTTATGGAATGAAGAGTGGCAAGTATTGTACCATTTTGAAATCTTGATTATATGGGTCATCTTTTAAAATAACTTGCCCAGGGTAGTGTAGTACATTTTTTTTAAAATATGAAGTGTCAAAGCTAGCTGACATATTTTTTTTAAGCTACGACTCAATGAAACTTATTTTTTTTACTAAACTCATAACGTTTATTGTTTGATTTGTGACTGCAATAAATAGCATGGTTATTTATGATGATGTTAAAAAAAATCACTCCAAAATTTGAAAATTTGTGATGACAGTACCTAAACATGTGGTCTAGGGTATCGATTTTCAACATTTTCAAAAAAATGCCTACTATCACTTAGCTAAGTGACATGGATTTTTTTTTTAATTTTTACCAGAACTGGTAAACTGAATATAACCTGGCCTCTCGCCCAGTGACCGCTTGACGTTGAGTTTTGGGACACCCTGTATACGTATAGATATATATATAGCTACACAGAGTTGTTTTTCCAATTCCGGATTTCTGGAAATGGTTGTACTGCATAGTAAGACAAAGTCCTGACCTAGGAAGTCGAAGTTGGATTTTAAAGTAATTCAAATGGTGTCATGTAAAAAAAATACAGTAGGTAACTGACCTGTAGCACTATGCGAAACACGGCAATTTACAGTTTATAGTCCTGAACACAAAGAAAACACTCAAGTTCGATTTACGCTGTTTAATCACGATATGACGCTTTACGCTTTTACAGTTACAGCACGAAAGACACAGAAGATATAGTTCAGTGTAGTAAGCTAGTAATGGAACTAAAGGAAGTAAGCGCAAGCTATATGCAAAATACTAAACACAATTTATACACGTAATGGCGGGCGATAACGGTAAATTTTAAAGGCAAAGCGAACGCGCATCTAGCGTCAGAGCGCAGCAAACAATGGCCAGCGGCGGAGTTCACGATGGCAGCCGAAGTCTCAACTTCAGCGTATCTCACGAACGTTCCCGATTAGTGGCGGAAACCGAGTTATTAATCGTTAGCCCAAAGCCAGTGCGGTCTTCGTTCGTTCTAATAATGTGCGATCTTTTAGTCGCCACAAACCTTTTACCAAAGCAGAGAATGAAAAAGTAACGAGAATAGTCACTCTCCGCCCCTCCCTAGCTTTAGATACCGCACCGCGCCCCGCATATTACAGGTCACATTGACGGAACGGCAACAAGACTGTCAGTTATCTACTGCATTTTTTACATGGCACCATTGACTTACAATTATATGGACGTCGGGTCCGCGCTAAAAAGTGTCCGCACTTGTAAGGCGCTAAAATCGTATACAGAGCGCCAAACTCCGCTTTAGTCTTCATTTGTTCGACTGACAGCGCGATACTGCGATGACATTACAATTTAAATTTCGAATAGGTTGACTTGAGACATTTTTTTCGTGGTTTTTGTATTAGACCCGTCGTCCATTTATTTGTAAGTCAATGCATGGCACCATTAGAATTACTTTGAAATCCAACTTGGACTTCCTAGGTCAGTAGTTTGTCCTACGATGCCGTAAAACCATTTCCGGAAATCCGGATTTCGAAAAAGTAATTTATTAATTGGTTATGACCAATGGTCGAAAAAAGGTATTCCACATATATAAATACATGTACAGATATAGCTACAAGGAGCGACCAAATATTAATTAAAGTACCGGCACGCTATGATGACCGTTTTGACAGATTACAATAGTGAGGTGAAATCTCGATTCATTCAATCTCAATATAATTACATGCGAGTTGCATCTATAAGTTTTTATATTTATAATAAGTATTGCAAGGTGTAGCTGATTAAAAAGTTTTAATGAAACGGAAATAAAAAAGTCGTATCGTCATCGTAATACACTCCCGGACACGTAAATCGAGCCGTCTTGCATTTTTATTATTCAAGTGCTACCATAAAAAAAAACATTAATATCATTGAAGAAATTGTTTTTCCCGGTTTTGCAAATTCAGATTTTCAACAAAACCTTTTGAAAATGACGTTTAGTACACCAGTTTCAAATTTGCATTAATTATTGATCAATCGAACATTATTTAAGCTAAGGACATTTAACACTGACAATGCAAAGTGGCTCGATTATGTGATTTTTAATTTCGAATTTCGAAAAACAAATGCCAAGTTGTGTCGTAAAAAATATACATACATTTTATAGCACGTCACAATTGGCAACAATGTAATTAACTCCTTCAACGTAGTTATGAATTATTACAAAACTTGATGAGCGGACAAATGTCATAACGGCCATTATAGCGTGCTGACACTTTAATTACTTTTATATAGATATACATATCATAAACCGTCTATGACGTGTTAAAAATCCGTAAATTACGACCAGCATAAAGATAAACTATTTTGTTAGAACAAATTTCTTATCTGTGAAAATGTTATTATTGTATAATAATAACATCGATTTTATTATTACATCCAAAATTCAAACATATCTGAAAAACAAAACAATTTGATTCGACCTCAATTCTAAAATCAGTCGAGATGAAGTTTAATCCGAAATGAAATGTTAATAGCAAACAATTTTGACAAATTTCACACGTTACTTGATATCGAACGATACGATAGTTGACGCCGACTCTTGTTTGTCCATGAATTAAATAAAAACTACGGTTGAGTGACATGCGTCAGAAAAGTTTTTATTTGCCGCCATTTCGCCAGTCGTAACATGCGGTTCCTGAACACATCATAGAGACCTTATATTATGTGTATAGATAAAGCAGTGTATGTAACTCTACATAATTAGGAATTAAAACACTCGTGTGATGTTTTTGAAGCCCACACTCGTATTTTAATGCTTTTCATTATGTAACAGTCACATAACTACTATTGTAACTACATCGCAGGACAGAACTACTGACCTAGGAAGTCGAAGTTGGATTTTAAAGTAATTCTAATGAATTCGACTTAATCGTAATGACACAATTCAAAGTGATGATGATGGTCATAATTAAGGAACGAGAGTACATGGCCGAATACAAATTGTCTATCTCGTAATGAAGTAACCATGTACACAAGTTCTAAACTCTCGCACGCAATTTATAATTCATGCAATGACATTTTTATGCTGTTTGTTGCTTACAGCGAAGTCAGGTTTATCTTTTTGCATTATTAATTCTACTACGTTGGAAAACAGTCGTTCGTTTTGTAATCTTATTTATTTTAATACTATGTAAGTAGCTTATTATTTGTATTTGAATTGTTGTATTTAAATTTATCTTTGTTTTATCTTATTATTCCTCTGTATATCTTAATATTTATTTCGTTAATTTAATTATATTTACCAAAAAAAAAGTCGCTGCTACACAAAATGCATGAACAGTCGATTATTTTAAAATTTACTTTTATTTCTAATATAGGTGTCCAAAAGATATTACAGCTTCTTTTTTTGTTTTTCTAATACACGTTCCTTCTGGACTTTCTGTTTCTTTCCACATATCACATTGGAAACTTTCTGTATTATTTTCTTCAACACGTACAGTGCCACTGCAAAGAATGCTGCTTGGTCCAGCATCCATCTTTCGTACCATTTGTATAAATACGTCACTGAACGCAGGTGGTAGGCTCCTGTGGAAATTACATACGACAAGTCTATCGTTATTATGTCAACCTTAAATTTATATAAATCTGATTTAGCCGGGAATACATTGAATTGAAATCAGTATGAAAACATCCCTATTGTATATTTGTTTTTTATAAAAATGTAAGTGCGCATTTGACCTCCATCTCACCTGATGGAAAGTGACGATGCATGCTCCATCATCGACCTCGATGATGGAGCATGCACACCTAAATAATACCTATTCACTCTCTCCTTGAAAGGTCTAAGTCATAACGTCATCGGGGAACAAGTCTGCAAGCAGGGAATTCCACTCCATACATAGCCTTTCGCCATATAAATGTGGAAGAATAGCGCTTCAGCATATTTGGTGTGAAAAGGACCGACCGAATTCGGAACACGACCTTCCTTTCTTAAACTCAAATTGCTGATGTAGCTCAAAAACCTGACAAACCTGAAATGGAGTTGGGCTGCTCATATCTGCCACATGCCTGAAGACCTGTGGGCCAAGATAAGCAGCCAGTGAAGGCCCAAAGGCGTAAGACACCACGGCAGACCGAGGAAGCGATGGCGTGACGAACTGGCTTGGGTCGAGTTAGCTCAAGATCGGGATGCGTGGAGGAATCAGGGGGAGGCCTTTGCCCAGCAGTGGGATACATCAGGTTAATTGCAATTGTAAGTAATAGTTGACCAAAAAGACAATGTCAAACATGAAGCTTCATTCATTAGTCAGACAGTAATTATTTCGGACAGATGTCGAACAGAGAACGGTAGTAGACCTCCTCTACTAAAAACGTTTTACAGTTACGCGTATTCCATCGGGAAGTAAAAGTTTTGGTGGCATCTTCCTCTGTCGCACAATTGAGAAATGGAACTCCCTTCCAGGTTACGTATTCCCTCCGTCTTACGATATGGGGTCCTTCAAACGAGGCGTGAAGAGGCATCTTGTAGGTATGCTGGGTGGAGGTGGCTAGGTGAGTGATTGTATCAACACTGCACTAGGTTGCTTCACGTTTTTGCTTCATGTTGGATTCCATTTTCCATTTTACATCAGGTGGAATGGAATCATCTGCCTGTCATATATATATAAATAATTGTACCCTTAGTAAATTACATGTGGTTATACCTCGAAAGAGCTTTTATCACATGAAAGTCATAAATATAAAACCAACTACATGAAACAAGCTTGTATACAACGAAGCCAGTTAGCACTTTAAACATAATGTAAGGACGCGTTCCCATTATGTCGTGACGACAGATAGTCGTGTAGTTTAAAGTATCGTGGCTTGTATATTTAAATGAAGTTGTTCACATATAGTACAACACGATTAATTATCGTTCACGACTTTCTTGACGTTACGACGACAGACTGTCGTGACAATGAAAAGAGCTAGAATGACAGTCATCTGACGATAAATAAAACGTCACTATAAAAATGTGACGACAGTCAATCGCAGCTTCAACGATTCTGTCGTGTACCGATAAATTGTCGTCACGATCTAGTGGGAACAGCTAGACACGACAGTCTGTCAATGATAAAATAAACGTCCACGACACAGTCACAAGTCACGACAGATAGTCGTGACATGGGGACAAACTAGACACGACTGTCATCCAACGATAAATAGAACCTTACGACATAATGGGAACGCGCCCTAACAGAATTTAATTCAGGATTCTATAATATATTATAGCATCCTGGCGTAAAGCACATATATTAATACACACATACATAATAATTGCTATAAACAATTTACAATTTCCCCATCGCCATAAAATTCTAGTCATTTCAAATATTCGCTTCGTACTCACCTTTAGTTTCAATGGCTAATTCGATGTAATAAGATATTAGTTTAGACGGTGGTGTAAGGCGATTTTTAAAAACTTCCGACATATATTTCGCTTTGCGGTAATAACTGGAATAATAATAAGGTTTTATTTAATAAAAAAACGACCTCAAAAATTTATGGAATTACATGTATTTGCCACGTTTTATTGAAATCGGTAAACGGGAAGTGGAAGAAGTCCAATAAACCGGATTCTTCCCCTCAAAGAGGCGGAATATTTTCTGCAAAGAAGGATGGCGGAAGCTGTCCCAATAACGACGAAGAGCCATTCATGGACTTTGCTTGTATAATTTTGCGTTTAAATTTATGCCTAGTTATCAATATATTTTAGTATAGTTTTAGAAGTCTAGAATAAAAAAAAATCGTAGACCGCCGCTAATGCGTCTTACGCATCTTTTGCAGACTTACTGTTCGGAACATATGTGATTGTCGGACCGTCTAATGTTAAGCAAATTTTTGCCAATGTAAATTCGTCATCCCTTTTCTTATTATTAACAGGAGTAGAGTCTTCTTGTGAGTTTTCAAGTAATGCAGCTCCACAAATTTTTATGTATGAGGTACATCCCCATCTTGAACTTCAATATTAGATAATCTCGCCTGCTGTTTAACAGTATCCCAGCAAGAGAACGTAGATTTGATCATTTATTATGATCACCCGTCTCCAATATTAGAAAGAAGAAAAATTCACTTTCAAATGGTGAATTTAAATTTTGACTTCACTCACAACAATATTACATCAATTCACAAGTTATTATTCACTTTTCAAGAGCTTCGTGCTGATAACGTGTTGTAAAATCTAGTAATAAATATTTATATATTTGATAAATAATAGTGTTTACTTGTGAGAATATTTTTTTTGAAGTAACATACTTCGAACATGAAATCCTGACTCTCCCATGTATCTATATACTAGAAGTTTGTAAATTTGTACGAAACCATCAAGACTTATATAAAAACCGTAAAGCCATCCCCACTAAATATACATTACGAAATATAAATTAGTACTACCATATTCAAGATTAAATATGCATTTATCTAGTCCATACACCATGTCAATAAAAATATATAACAATCTATCGGAAATTATAAAAAATGAACAAAATAACAAGATTTTCTTTAAAAACTTAAAGAATTTTCTCATAAATAAAAGTTATTATAATGTAAAAGAGTTTTTAGAAGATAAATTTGGTATCTAAATTTAGTAACTAGTCGATAATAAATATAATAATATAAAGCTGTTGGCGTTGGTATATATCAAATTATATATTAGTAAGTGTAACAATTATGAGACTAGTCCTCTCTTCTACTATTTGCTGTGCCCTGTGCAGGGTCCATAATTTGATCTCAATATATGTAAAACATCTGTAATGCACATTATGGAATGCAAATAAATAAATAAACTTCGTTCTTATAAGAAAAATAAATATTTTCAAAGTTTACACTGCCAGTAAGACAACTGAGACTACAACAATCAAGGGAGAAAAAAACAATTAAAGGCACTTTAAGCCCCGATTACTATCAGAACCGATTTTGCCAAAACTCACTAATTTGAACCACTACAAAATCTTGATGTTGACTGGTCTAAGTTTCAGATTTAAAACGAAATAACAAATTCTGTTCATCAAATTCAAAATATAATTTAAGCTTTACCCAGTTGGCACATCGTTGATAGTTCAATATTATTACTACCTATTACTTATTGCAAATTAAGATGTTTTGATATTTTATTGAAATTTTGGGCAACATTTTTGGTGCGGCCATTGACTTACAAATAAATGGACGACGGGTCTAATACAAAAACCACGAAAAAAATGTCCCAAGTCAACCTATTCGAAATTTAAATTGTAATGTCATCGCAGTATCGCGCTGTCAGTCGAACAAATGAAGACTAAAGCGGAGTTTGGCGCTCTGTATACGATTTTAGCGCCTTACAAGTGCGGACACTTTTTAGCGCGGACCCGACGTCCATATAATTGTAAGTCAATGGGTGCGGCTATCAGTTTTTCACTCCAAAACAGCATAACAAAACAATTTTCTAGGATTTAGAAAATTTACACGAAGGAATACCATACAAAGCGAATGGCGGACTGAGCTCACATAGGTCTTTCGAGACCTATAGTTGGCACGCGTTCTGTGGTTACTTCAACTAAGTAACCACTTCTACTGTATTTATTTTACTGCGCTATCGACACACAACTGAGATAATTTAAAATTAAGAAACTAGAAATCCTGGTCTGTGTTTTGTAAGATATAACCGGTCAGGCATAAAAAACGATGGGTTTTGTTCAGTCACAGTTTCAATGTACAACCACAGGCCATCGGTTATCTAGGGGAAGAGAGATCAGTAGGGGCAGCACCATAGCACAATAAATACAGCAGTGCTTAGTGCACGGGGCACGTGTGCCAACAATGCGCGGAGTTTCACATACTTGAGCTACTCGCCATTTTCGCTTTGTACTCCATCAGCAAACTCGACGCAGTCCCAGTTTCAAATTTTAATTGTTTGCAAGCAGAGATTGTACCTAGTCTCGTTTCTTATTTTGCTGACCTTTTATGTGAAAACCATTTTTTCAGCACCAAAAAATTGGTATAGCCTTAATCGATATTGGTGGAGAAGAACAAGCAAGCTGCAGGCAACAGCGGTCACGACCACCCTTGATTGCACGGAAAAAGAACTCTTAGGCCTTATTCAGAGTGATGGCGGACGCTTCTTGCGGCCACAGTGGTCGCGCGCCCTGGCGAAGTCGAGGTGAGTGTGGGATCTATTGGCTCGGCCCACCCTTTCACAATGCTTGGTCTAGTGTCTTGCGTCTGTTTGCGAATTCGACGTGTGGACCTACCCGCTCGTAGCCGCTTCGGCACTGTGAAAGGGAAGATGCCAATACTCGCGCCCGACGCCGCGCCCGCGCCTGCACTCTGAATGAGACCTTACGATGGGACTGCGTCGAGTTTGCTGATACGTTATGGTCGTGTCAATTATCTCGTTCAAAACGGAAAAAGTAAGGCATTTTTTTTTTCACTTTTTTCGTAAACTTCGCTGCTCTGAAGTGCGAAAACAATAGTTGCACTTATAATATTATATATGAGAAAAAGAAATTAAATACGTCACCTGTCGTTGTTCAGCATATCTGTCAAAACTGCATAAAACTGCGGACCAAACGTTGGTTCCAGTACCACTCGTCCATATCCAGTGTCTTCGGCTCGACGAGCATTGGCGGGCTGTTCGCTGTATATGGGCAAAGCGAGGATAGGGACTCCAAAGTGGATTGCTTCGATTACGCTAGTGATGCCACCATGGGTTATAAATAGACGGATATTAGGGTGCGCTGAAAAATTTGAGGATGACGGTCATTATGCTAAATAAAGATTTAGTAACAATAGAGCGCTTTGTGAAAGAGTACGTCCTGGGAAGTACTGGCACCTTACCTATTTCAGCCGCCAAGCAGTAACGTGAGAATTAATGCGTTCCAGTTTTGAAGGGTAAGGATGCTGGTGAAATTATGGGCACATCGGTCAAGGGATTTTTCAACTTATGTTTCAGCGGTTTTCTTGGGACATAAGGTTACAAATCCCATGGCCTGTAATTTCATCAGCACCCTAAAGCACCGCGCAAGCGTGTATCTGGTGTTGGATATAAGCAACCGGCAACTAGAAGCGAACATAATATTTTCATACAATTGATATGAATTCGACACAGTCGCCAGTACAGCTACCGAAATTAGTCGCTGGTTGCGACAATCGTACACTGTCGCCGGTTGGCACAACCTGTATTTGGTGACAGTACTTCCCTGGACGAACTTTGTCTCTCTTTAGGAGCTCTACTGCAACTAAAAATGATTTAAGAACCGCCACTTGATAATTTGCGTACCTGTGGCAGATAAATTCGGTGTCAAAAAGAACATTTACCTAAAATACCAAGTTGCGGCCACCAATTCCTAATGTGAACATTTTTAGGCAATCCCATAGGTGCAAACTGTAGTTTCCACAAAACGGTCATTTTCAGTGAGCCAAAAATGTTTATCAGTTCATGTATCATCTCTTCTGGAATCGCATAAGTTTTCACTACTGAACCCATGCTGAAGTACACCACTCCTTGTAAAGAGTTGTCCATTATTTCTTGAAGATCCTGTGGAAAAAAACACATACGTGTCCAAGTTTATAAAAGCCGTAGTAGACATGCCAAGTCGCATTAGGCCAGACGTTAGGTTTGAGATAGCAGCTGTAGAATGCGTTGTGAAAGAGTTCGTCCAGGAAAATACTGCTACATTACCTATTACAGCTGCCAAGCAGTAATGTGTGCATTGGCATTGTGAGCGTTCCGTTTCTGAAGCCATTGCAGGCACACGGGACTGTCAACTTATATCTGAGGAAGACAGGCACAGTGGCAGTGTTCCTCAGATCTTTGCGATTTAAAGCTCTGAGTGGCATTGATACTGTTATGGACAGGCGTGTCACTTACATCAGGCACACGACTTATTCGTCTCTTCACTTGATATCTTAAAAAAACATACAAACACTATGCCTTATTATGGCTTTCTTTACTTTAAGGGCCGTATCTTGTGAGATGTTCTAGCTTTTTTCAGCTTACACTTTCTGATTCGCTGAGACTCCTTATGCTTACTTTTACTTATTATTGTGGTTGTAAGTTTGTGACCCAGAGGAATCTTGACATAATGGTATATCTTTGGAGCTACTCGGTAGATGGCGATATGTAGTCACTTTTCTCATCCCCTCAAATCCCTCTACAAGTATTAGTTGTTCCTTACAAGCGCCTTGTTTTCAGCAGTGGAACGAACATATTCAACACGTATTTGCAGCACACATATATATAGAATTCTTAGGCTTTTACACATAGGAATTGAAACAATTTACTTGGATAACTGACTCAGTTAAACAACCGTGACCATGGGAGCTGCAAAGCGCCCGAAACGTTGGTTTATTTTCAAAAACAAATACACGCTATTTAGATCCGAAAAAATAGTTTCCTTTGTCATTTGTTATTGGCATTTCCTGTGTGCATTATAATTATACTTTGTGAAACTGATTGAACCCCTGCTATTGGAGAAGATAAACCTTTTTAAGGATGTTACTCTCTAAACCTGCTGCCAACGGTTTAAAGCTTAGGATCTTAATCTTCCCTTTAGAAGAGACCTGTTTTGAGCAGTAGATTATATACAGCACCTAACTATAGACTTTACATTCTCCTTAAAATCGATTTATAAAAATATTCACCTTAGGTAGAGGGACACCTTCATCAATGTGATATCCAGCGATATGAATGACGTTGGGTGGTAAGGACTGCCCTGGAGCGATTAATGGATGGGAATTGAGCATCAATAGGGATATGTTGGAAGAAGCTACCCTGAAAGGCGGTAAATCTACCCCTCTAGCCTGGGCCAGGGAAGAGAAGTATGTTATGTAATCGGATTCATGTATAGCAGCTGCATTGTACCTGTGAAAAATTCAATTTTCAATTATTAATATAGCTGTTAATTTATTTTTTAAGATAGTCCGTAATGACGATGAATACCTATCCAAAGTTTTGGACTTCCTATTAGACTTACTAATCAGCGATATTGACTTACTTATCACCATTTAAAATGTACATTGGTCTTAAGACTTTCGAGTTGTTTGGTAATTTTTATACCTCCCGATGATTTCAAAGCGACGCCATGGTCAGGTGTTTTTTGTTTTGCTGTTGCAGAATTATTTTTAAATGGCGTCCAGGTGTGAATCTGGCCACTGGCTACACGCTTTCCCCTCTGCCAATACCAGTACCTTCCTGAGCGCCGAGACCATTCGCATAGCTGCAGACCTCCGCCTTGGTGTCCCAGTTTGCTCCCATAATCGGTGTCCTTGCGGCAAAGACGTAAGTGCTCTGGGTCACTACTATCTTTCCTGCCAGCTGAGCACCAGCCGTATCTCCATGCAGCCCTCAACGACATCATTCGCCGGGCCTTTGCCAATGTTAACGTGCCCGCTATTCTCGAGCCAAGTGGCATGTCGCGAACAGATGGCAAACGCTCCGACGGAATGAATCTCATCCCTTGGAGTGTGGGCCGGGCACTGATTGAGCCGCCATATGTGCCGACATACTTGCCCTATCCCATCTCCAGCACACCAACAAGAGGGCTGGCCCCGCAGCTGAGCTGGCGGAAAGAATAAAAAGGAATAAGTATCAGGATCTCGCTTCCGACTACCTATTTACAGCCTTTGGATTCGAAACCCTTGGCCCGTGGAATCCCAGTGCCATTCATCTGTACAAAATTGTATCCAAAAAATTAATAAACTGTCTGGGAAACCCAGGAGCCGGCAGTTTCCTTACCCAGCGGATTAGCACAGTAATACAAAGGGGGAACGCTGCCACTTAGGCACCTTGCCACGAGGACCCAATTTTATTCATATAATTTAAAAATCCTAGTTATACTTTCTAGTATTTAAGCTTTTATTCCCTTTTTTACCTTACCTGTATATTATCAAAATAAAAATATCAAAACAATTTTGAAATGGATATTGCTCAATAAGTTATTCAAATCGAAACATTAGTGACGATATGACCCGCTTAAATCGTCATCCCACCTTTTTATCCCCTTTTCTCAGGTTCCTAGCCACCTGTTTTCACATTTTGAATCGTTCTTTAATTCCTTTGCCTCGCCATTTCCTTTTTGGTTCGTTCCGTCGTTACTCCTTGCTCAATCGCGCTAGCGAGCAGTTCAGCTGTAATTCTTAATTTCGTCTAATTTTGATTGTTTTACCAGTTCCCAACCTAAATCGTGTGCCAATTTTAATGTTAATACCAATCTGTGATTCGGTATAACTCGGTCCTTTTGAACCTTTCCTTTCTTTTCTTTTAATAATCGATAAAATTTTAGTGAACTGAAGTATCCTATTTTATTACTGTGATCCTGGTCAAGGCACATTAGTGGTTTACATTCCTTGACATTATTGAAAATACCACACGTACATACGCCATGTTAGCCTAATCTAACGCCTCTCAAACAGAGACATGACATTTAATTTGTTTGAAAACTTTCTGCCATATCATTACATGAATATTGTAACTCGGATTTTAGAGAGATGCACTATTCTGAGCAATTCCATAGTTGTAGCGATCACATCTGCCTTAATGGTGATCATAGGGCCCTTCTAGATGAAATGTATTCCGCAGTTATGAGTACTTTGAGTAATGCAGCTAAATTAACATATAGGGGTACTAATTTAAGAAAACACTGGGTTGTGATTGGATTTAACAAATACGTTCGTGATGCTCACAGGGACACAAGGTCAAAATTTAATATGTGAGTATTATATGGTAGACCTAAAAGCGGTTTAGTTTATAATGAAATGTACGAAAGTCGAAAATTATTTAAGTCAAAACTAAAGTGGTGTCACAATCACGAATAACAATTAGAAATGGACATGTTGGCGAAAACCTATACTGACAAAAATTTCAAAATAATCCTGGAATTTAACAAGTAATTTTAATGTAAAAACTGGGCAACCTGTACGCATCAACGGTGTCACTGAGAAGGCTGATATTGCCAATCTATTAAAAAATAATTATAGAGTTGAGTCACCATTGAGTTCTATTAAATCATCAGAAAGTAACTGTTGTGTCTTCCATGAAAATATCGGCAACAACGGGCGATGGGCTCCCCGGTATGTCCCGTTGTTGCCGATATTTTCATGGAAGACTTCGAGGAGCAAGTTTTACCCATGGCCCCAGCTAGGCCGAAGATTTTCAAACGGTACGTTGATGATACTTTCACAATATTACCTAAAGATAGCATACCTTCTTTCTTGCACCATCTTAATTCTTTTAGTACTAAGATCCAATTTACTATGGAACAAGAGAATTGTGGTACTTTAGCTTTCTTAGTTGTTTTAATTAAAATAAATCCTAATAACACCTTAGGCCATACTGCATTTCGAAAGAAAACCCATACAGATAGGTATCTCAATGGTAATTCCCATCACCATCCTAGCCAGTTAGCTACCGTGGGCAAATCTTTGTTTCAGAGAGCACATGGTGTCTGCGACAGTAATCATCTGGCAGGGGAACTTCAGCTTATAAAGCAAGTCCTACATGCGAATAAGTTGAAGATTCCACGCCAATGCCGCAGGCCCCGTGTGAAACCACCAACAGTCGAGCGAAGAACTGCCATCTTACCTTACGTGAGAGGTGTTACAGACAAGATCGGAAGAGTCCACAGGCGTGCATCTATCAAGACCTATTTCAAGCCCCTGAGGAAGATTTCTCAGTTCCTGAGACCCGTGAAATGTAACATCCCCTTACAGGATGCAGGACTTTACAAGCTTGAATGTGAGTGCGGGCTCTCTTATATTGGACAAACAAAGCGAAGTATTTGTACCCGCGTTAAAGAACATATGGCTGATGTCAAACACCGTCGCGTAAACAAGTCTGCACTGAGAAGACCAGACAAAGACAGACCACCCACAAGGTGGGACGATGACCTAGTAAAGGTAGCAGGAATCTGTAGGATGGTCGTTAGCGATCTCATGCCCTTGTCCCACAGGAGGAGTAGACAGAGACCACGGGACTCCAGCTTAATCTATCCTGACACAACTTTCGAGCCTCGTATGCATCAACTACCATTTTCATACAACTTCTTTTATTTATGTCACATCAGATCCCAACCATGTCGAGCAATGGATGTCTTTCGGCAGAAACGATGATGATTAGGACCATTCGTAAACACTGTGCACTCACCACATCAATCCAGTGAACAACATAAACGATACAGTATTGGCTAGCCGTTGCCAAAAGTTCATAGGTATCGGAAATCCAGTCATTATTGACGGCACAGTCGAAATTGAGCGAACATCATCCACGAGATTTTCAAGGGGAGCGTAGATATGAGCTGCGTAGAAAACTATCCAAGGAACTTCTTGGACGGCTGCGAATCTAAAATTTAAATACAAGTTTTAACTTCGTACCACGGAAGAAACAACAGCGGAAGGACCCGCTGTCGCCAAAGCTCACACTATTATGAACACTATGAAATCTTGATAATTCTGGACTGTTAAAATAATAGAACAAAGATCGAACACTTAACAAAAAATTCCTTTGATCCGGCTGGATTCAAACCAACATCTTTCAGCAAACCGTACCATACGCTATGCCAATTGAATGAGAATAAACTAGCGTACCTTGCGAATTTTTCAATGTGCTTGTTGCAGATATTTGTTTTTGGTTCTTAACTACTTTTTTGAATCTTTGAGAAATCTATTTCTTCACTCAACGCTATCACAGATAGGGCTACGGCAAAAAAGTCGTTAAAAAAACATCTGCAAACAAGTACATAGAAAAATTCAGTAGCAGAAGAACTCCTCGTGAAAGAGTACGTCTAGAGTAGTACTACCACCTTACATATTTCTGCCGCCAAGCAGTAATGTCAACAATACTGCGTTCCGGTTTAAAAAGGGTGCTAGTGAAATTACAGGCATATGAGTCAACTTGTCTTGTCAACTTATGTCTCAGGTTGACGGGCGCTGTGACAGTGCCTCTAAGATCTGTACAATTTAAAGCTTACTTTAGTTGGCGGCGTCTGCCACGATTTACTGGAAGACATTGGATCGAATTGAGCCGGATCGACAGATTTTTTTTCACAGTTCGATCTTTGTATTAGTAACAATATTTCATTCATTCAAAGGACTGTTCAGTGTGCGGTTGAATTAATTTAAAATGATCATAACTCACCCGGCGTATACTTCTGTCATGAACCACTCAGTAACAACAGCATCAAATTGTTGCGTTATCAACATATCCCTGAGTTGTTTATTTTCAAGCGTAACGATATTCAGGTTTCTGCTCAGCTCTAATATGAAAGATACAGATTGTGTTTTGCTAATGTCCGCCGGCTTAAAATCTGAAAAGAAAAAGCTTCAACGTCAATGAGATTTGCTGTCTAGCAACAAAGCCACAGGTTAAGCCATCCAAGTTAACTTAACCAAATTAAAAAATCGCTTACTCTCTGTAATTTTTAATATATCACTAACGTAAACAAACGTTAAGTTTTTCTGAGGCTTATTGTCTTCATACGGAGTTACCCATGTTACCTGAAACAATATATAAAGGTATTTTTCATCAAGCAAGTGGTCGTAAATAGTTTCATGACATGCTGGCAAAGTAGGCCGCAATATCCCTAGTGAAGATTACTTTTTTTATTTAATTGCACTGTACTTCTCTAAGGCTCAACTCACACTGTTTACTGTTTTTCAACTATATTGCATAACACCTTAGAATAATAACGCATAGAATGACAGTTTCATATCAAACGAACTGTCACAAGTGAGGCAAAAATCAAATTCATGTAGGCTAGTTTTAGTAGTAGGTTAATTTTCGGTTTTAGTGAATATTTATGTAAAAATACTAGTTGAAACGCGTTACTTCCTTGTGGAATGTGATGTTAGTATCTATTTTATGTTTGTCTGACGTATTTTTACACTCATTTACCGCACATTTCATTTTTAGCTAAAATTCTTGAGCTGTTCGCGGTGCAAATTGACCTTGAGCACTGAAGGCCCGCCCGCTCGTGTAGGCCCATTGGGCGCGCTTCAATTTGCCTCACTTAGCGTGTGCGGGCTAGGTTTCTATGCATTATTATTCTAAGCATAACACAAATTTTTACCTTAATCATGGGAAAATAGAGATGAATATGCTATAGGCGAAAAACATGACGCGTTGCGACGCTTCGACTCTGCGAGTTGAGACTTATACGTCTAGATTAAGCAATAAGTTTTTATACTCGAAAAATCTGATTGCATTTCACATAAAAAAATTCACACAAAAAATATTCCATCATTCCTTCCGGTTTTTATTCTCAGTCCTTTACTGTTCATGCGGTGAGGCTTTGGTACGCACTTCCTATTACTGTACATGACAGTAAATTGTTCTATTTTTAAAATAAGAGTTAAGTAGCACTACTGTTCCGTCCATTTTAAAGGTATTGTAATATGAAATATGTATTTATCTAAGTATGAGACCTAGGGGCATGAGTCCTAAAAGCTGGTCGGGTAGGATCTCCGAACAACTGGAACTACCTGTCAGCGCCGCAACACATCATGCGACTGAGTTCAATCGATGGAGGCAAATGCTTGGCAGGATAAAGTGGTGTCACGATCCTCCAGCAGAGAGAAAGCGATTAATATAGTCTATAGTAATTAATATTTTTGCGATTGTTTTTTTTTTATTTTGTTTTGTGTACCCATTGTTGTAATTATTGTCTCCTGTATTTTGGTCTGCAGTAAGAAATTTCTTTTAGAAATAAGCTGTACCTTTTGTTTTTTGTTTTATGAAATGAGATTTATTTTCCTGTACAATTATGAAATAAATAAAATATATATATATATATATAAGACCAGTTATCTAACTCCAGTCTGTTCGGCTAGATATATTTTGAAGATAAAATTATTTCTTACCTCATGCCCAGCTTTCAACAGAGATCTGACAAATGCGTTAGCAAGTATATTATGGCTTCTACTCGGCCCAGTAAACACACATAGTAACTTATACATATGTACATTCGTACTGCAACTTAGTAAGAGAAAAATGAACTTAATGGTAGCTGAAAAAAACATAATAGTGATGAAAAAATAATACAATAATACACTTGTTTACACGTTACATGCATTTGGGCAATATGTCAAAGTTTAGTGGCTGTTTTTTTGCATTCTTTTCGTAAGGCTTCAAGTAGATTGTGACATCCATAGATTTAATATAATACTAAATCTATGTATAGTATATCTATGTTAACATAGTACTAAATCTATGATGGCATCACAGTACCTTCACTCAAATATTTTATAAAAATATACATAATTTCAATAAGAAAGAAGATATCCATAATGTAGCGAATCGCAGCAGTAGCTACAAATCTCTTTTGTATGTATTTTATAATCTCTTTAAGTTTTAGTTTTATATTTAAATGTTTGTTTTTGGCGCCTTTTTCTTGACTTTTGTTATGCTTTGATAGCGACAACGTGTTTTCTAGTAAATTATTAATAAACTGTAAGTACATTATCTAGGCCTTCCTCACTCGTTGTTAGCACTCAACCTTTAACCCATTGATATAGTCTGCTACATATAATATTAAGCTAAGTCCAAACTCATGGTATCACGGTTTCGTTTAACCAAGGTAAACGACTCTTATTATGAGGAACTGTAAAAGTTTTTAAATTAAGATTTTCATTTTCTAAGTTTAAAAACTGTTATAAACTTCGCCAACTTGAAGTTACCTTCATTATTCTTCTTTCGATATCCTTATTGTAAAATGAAACTTCCTTAATCTGAAGTGGACTGTATATTCATATATGTCGATCTGACTTACAAACACAAGAAACAACTAATTTAAGAATCCAACAAATCTGATATGTGAATAATGCGAATAACAATTATTATCAGTCTAATCATAATCGCTTATATTTATACTGGTACGGTGTCTCCCACACCGTACCGGTCATATCAATGGGTCGCTACACCGCTCGGCCAATCAGAGCTCCTGAATTATTCATTCTCCTCTGAATTCTAGCTCTGATCGGCCAGACGCGTACGGCCGTTCGTAACAAAAACTACAATAAAAATATTTTGACTGACAAGTCATATAATAAAATTGAAGACTACGTGTTAGATAAAGATGTACGGAAAGCGACATGGCCTCTACATTTCACACAAATTTGATACAAAAGTGTATTTCATAGGTAGCATTTACGTTTTGTTTAAAAAGAGCAATCTCTAGAGTTTCTTGCTGGTTCTTCTCTGGGAAGTCAGCGTAGTGAACGAGCAATAGCTTAAATGTGACGTTTTCAAATGTAAATTTATTGTACCTATGGAATAAATGATTCTTTAAGTTTGACTTGACACGGCCCCGCAACCGCATTGGTACCTCACCTCACTACTATATGTCGCAGCGGTATCATATAAAGCGCCGTATTTGGTACATTACGGCTAGCCGGTATGCAAAACGGTGCTGTTTTCTAATACGGCTACCTCATGTTCAGCCGGATTGTGATCACTATAAATATAAATATTAAATATGTAATTTTTGAATTTTCGTCCATTATAGCATCAAAGCTCAAGTTAAACTGGTCGTTTTGAAGTGAAACAGTTGACGACACCCGTCAATTGATTCGAATTCGGGCTGACCAATCGGAGCGAAGTTGTCATCGTAATGATTTGGCAGAATAGTTTTCAAACAAATTAAATGATATTTCGTCTCTCTTTCTGGTTATATCTTAGACTATTATTTTTTTTCCATCCTCTAAGGTTTAACGAGAGCTTTGTAATAATAGACGAAAATTTCAAAATTACATATTTAATTTTTAATGATTCCGTTTGTTTTGTAATTAGATGTGGAATGGTACAGCACGCCATTGTTAGAGATTTTCTTTATTACACTATTAACTCTCTTTTTTTGGAATATACGGAGACGTACACACAGGTCAGTTGTTGGCGGTCTATATTTCAGTGCAAACGAGAGTTGATATTTATAAGTGATGTATCACGATGATTTACCAGGAATGAATGGCCCTTATTTCGTCTCTATTTCTGGTTATGTACTCGATATCCATACACTACCTTTATTTACTATATTTTTTCTTTTTCTTTTATAATACCAAATAACGGGACGAACAAGTTGTAAGCCTCGTGGTCGTGCGACACGCTTATCCATAGCAGTTGCAGTGCCACTCAGAGCTTTCAATAGCAAAGATCTTTGGGGCACTGCCACTACGCCCGTCACCCTGAGATATAAGTTGACAAGTCCCACGTGCCTGTAATTTCACCAGCGCTTACCCTTCAAAACCGGAACGCAGTCATAGTCACAATAAAGCTTGAAGGCAGAAATAGGTAAGGTGGCAGTACTTCCCAGAATGAACGCCTTCATAAGGAGGCTCTACAGCTACTTATTATGCATATATTTATATTAAATGAATATTTTTCAAACCTATACAAATGGACAAATCTTTTTATTTTTTCAAAAATATTCATAAATTTTATACCTGAACCCATTGACTTACAATTATATGGACGTCGGGTCCGCGCTAAAAAGTGT